TGTAGAGATGAGGTCTCGCTGCCCAGGCGGGTCTTGAACCCGCGGGTTCAGGCAATCCACGCACTTCAGCCTCCCAAAGGCGCAGGATTACAGGCTGAGCCACCGAGCCCGGCTGCACTTGTATTTTCACAAAGCACTCTAGGCAGCCTGCAGGCTGCCAGGCAGAGATGGACAGTGGAAGGAAACCTATGTGCTATCTTATATCACGTGATCCCATACATTCCCTCTGAGTGCTGCAAAATCGATCCCTGCTATAACACACATATTAGCATCAGTTCAGAACTTGATTTTGTCTATATTTTTATAAACCTGAAGTTGTTGGGATTATAATTGCTAGGTTGGAAAGGAAAAAAAACAGTCAGTAACTATAGGATTTTATCATTGGTTCCAGAGAAAGGTGAGGTGATTAGCCCAACAGGAAGCTGATTATATGGGTGAATATATTATGCATGTACATGTGTGTACACATGTATATTTCTGTTCAGCTTTGTATTAGGATAGCAACTATATATTTTAAGACAGGAATGAAAATGACTGACTTGGGCTGATGTCCCAAGAATCTGCCAGAGGAGTGTCTGTAACATAGGAGGTGGCTTTTAAAATAAGTCTTCATTTTGGCATCTTTTAATTCTTTATGATTAAACTGGTCCTATATTAGGCTAATCAAGAGTATTGGGACCAACTTAATAATCGGGATATGACTGTTTCTGCACAAGCTCAAGTGATTTGAAAAGTTGTTCTTGGATTTGGTAGTAAGGACTATTGTATTTAAGCCTTCATTTAGGCTGCTGAGTTACATTTAAAAAGTAGCTTGCTATTCCTAGGACCTAGGGCATAACTAGCTGCTCTAAGAAATTTAGATTTAAAATACAACTTGCATTATAAGAAGCTTAAAACAGAACATGTCAAAATTAGAATTCAAACCGGGGCTTCGTATAGGGCAAAGACTTCCTTGATAACAGGGTTTGCATGGACTGGTGCAGATGGCAGACAGTCTGACACTAAAATAAACAGACAAAATCTACCTTAAGGAAGTTGTGCAAAGCTTCTTGTACAGTTGAAGATGGTATTTTTCCAAACAAAGTAGTAGCCATTTTTTTCTCAATCCAGCTCAGTCTTGAGACCTGCAAACACAGAACAATGTCACACTTAGAGAGTTGTTCACCTTTTCAGATGATAATCTCTCCCATGCTGGATAGGTATGTGCATGTGTATACATGTATGTAATATAACATAAACAAATATAAATACATATCTATAAAGAGATATTACCCTTATGGTATTTATATTAATATTTTGCCTTCCTTTTTCATAATTCTAAGAAACCATGAGCTCCAGAAGCACAGATTTCAAAACCAATTTGAAATGTTCCCAATGAGATCTGTGTCCTATCAGAGAACAAGGGCGGGGTGCGGAATCACACTGACCCTGTTTGTTCATCTGATTCACGATTCTGAGATGACTGCAGAGTACTTCTTTGCACACACGTGCTAGCTACAAGACCCACCTTTGCCCTGTTCCTGCTACTCCATGAGCCCCTACCCAAAGGCAGCATCTCAAAAATGCAGATGGAACAAGGATTCTCAACCCTCAGGGAATGGAGAATGAGGGCCCACGATATACATTACAATCCAGAAGATATTTTTTTTTAACCAATAACCACCCAAGTTAAATTCCATATTATCATTTATTTTTTGCTTTCTTTTTAAAAGTTTTCACTTTTTTCCCCCAAATATGAATATTATATATTCTAAAAGAGTAAGCTGGCTCAGAAACGAATGCTTAAAAGGATGCTGATGGAGTTGATGCTCTGCCCAGTCCTATAAGGTGTTTTCTTTCTTAGTCCACCTATTAGATTTCTAGGTTGCCATTACTGCCTATTACAAAAATTATTTCCTTATTTTCCTATGTATTTTACATATTGGTATGCCTATTTTTGCTTTGTTTTGAACTTACTAAAAAACGATATCATACTGTTTATTTCCTGAATGACTTTTTTTTTTTCACTTAACGTGACAGTTTTAAGATTTCATCCAGGATGATGAGTGTCACTGAAATTCAGCCATAAAATAGCAGCAATAGTCTGTCATGTGAACATCCATTAGCAAAACTTTCGTCCACTCCTGTCAACGGACATCTGAGTTTTTTCCAATGTTTTGCTCTTAGGAACAGGGCTGCTGTGGGTATTCTTGTACGTGCCTTCATACATGCAAGAGTTTCTGCAGGGCAGGCACGATCACATGGCAGATAAGTAATCACATGTAAAAGATGACAATCAATTGTTTGCAAGGTGGCTATGCTAAGAATTCCTGTTGCGCCACGTCCTTGCAACTCCTCGTGCTGATATTTTAAAATGTTATCAAATGAGTCAGAATAAAGTGGTGTCTCCTTGGAGTTTTCATTATTATTTTCTATGATTGGGTTTTTAAATTTTTAATTTACTTGCACTATCATCATAAAAACTGCATGATATCAATTCTTTAAAATTTTTAAATACTTGCCTCATGGCTTCACATGAGTCATTTTAGTAAACATTCTGCATAAACTTGAAATAAAACATATATTTTCTAATGGTCAGGTGCGCGTTTTCATGTTTGTTAGGTCAAGCTTATCTAATGCGAGGCTCCAATGTTTTACATGCTTCCTAATAGTTTTTGTCTTCTAGTACTACTAATTATTAAAAGAGGCAGGTAAAAATCTACCAATATGTGGTTGATCTGTTAATTTATTCAATTTTTATTTTATAGTTTTGAGGCTATTAGAAACACACTAGTTTCTAGAAACTTGGCTGGTGAACTGAATTTTGGACTATTATATAGTTACCCTCTCTACCTCTAGAGATACTTATGCCTTAAAATGTGTGTGTGTGTGTGTGTGTGTGTGTGTGTGTGTGTGTGTGTGTCTACTCACACATGTACAGAGGTATATGTTCCAAAATTCCCAGTGGGTGCCTGAAACCACAGATAGTACCAAATCCCAGATACACCATTTTGCAATCTGATAACTCAGATGGCTATTAAGTAAACAGCATGGATGTGCTGGACAAAGAATGATACATATTGACAAAGTAGGTTGACACAAAATTTTATCATGCTACTCTGAACAGTGTACAATTTAAAACTTATAAATTGCTTATTTCTCAAATTTTCCATTTAATATTGTTCTACTGTGGTTAATTGCAAAAAATTGAAACTGTGGAAAGAGAAAACTCTAAATGGGGGGACAACTATACACACACACACACACACACACACACACACACACACACACACACACACACAAACACACATACACATTTTATTTTGGTTCCTATGTTTTGTTACTATTTAATAAAATTTTTCCGGGTGGATTTGGCAGTTGAGGGGAGGGAGGAGCACACCTCATCAACAAGGGTACCTGCATAATCAGTGTTTGTAGACCTAACCCTGAATTGTGCCCCACATCTTTATAATAAAAAAATTAAAATTAAAAAAAAATTTCCATATGTTTCTTGGTCATTATATATTAATATTTTCAAAATCAGCTTTACTGAGATATAATCTAGATAAATAAAATTTCATCCATCATAGCTGCACAGTTCAATGAGTTTTGATAAATGTATACAATCTTGTAACCACCAAAACAAAACAATCAACACATAGTATATTTTCATTGCCCTAAAAAGTATCTTGTTTGTAACCACCAAAACAATCAACACATAGTATATTTTCATTGCCCTAAAAAGTATCTTGTGTTCCTTTGCAGTCAGTTGCCTTACCCCACTCAAAGCCCTAGTCACCAAGTCATCCATGGCTATAATTTGCCTTTTCTAAAATTTCCTATCAAGGGAATTACACATGAGGTAGTCTCTTGTGAGCTTTCTTGGCATAATGCTTTGAAGAGTCGTGTGGGTTGTCATGCTGCTTAAGACGCTATGAACATTCATGTACTAGTCTTTAGGTGAACATGTATTTTCATTTCTCTTGGTAAATACCTAGGAATTGCTACACTATGTACTCATACATTTGTTATTCATATAGTCCCATCAAAATATGAGAGTTTCAACTGCTCCATATTCTTGTCAACACTTGGTACTGCCAGTTTTTAAAATTTTATCCCTTTTAGTGAGCACGTAGTGATCTTTCTCTGTGTTTTTAATTTACATTTTTCTTATGACTAAATAATGCTGAATATCTTTTCATAGGCCTGACTGGCCACTCACAGACTCTCTTTTGTGAAGTGATTTAATTGAAATCTGATCTGGAAAACAGTCAAACATATGTGGAAACACTTCAAGTTTTCTCCTTCTCAATTTTGTTTTATAGCTACAGCTAGTGTTGGATAAAATGCTGTAGCTAGTATGAGCAGTGTCATTAAAAATGTCTGACATATTGGAGAACACTTTTGCAAGTTCTAGCTAGTCTTGCTACATAGATAGCATTAACAGTTTATTTCCAGAAAGCACCTTTCTGGACTTTGCCCAGGTTACCCATGCATTTCCCCTACAATTCCTTTTACTTAAAGCAACACATTATACACAGTTGTTTAATATTCTGTATCCCATGTTTCCAAAATCTGAAGTATTTGTAGATCTATTGTTCTTTTTGGTTTTTACTGACTGTCATTTCCGTTGTCTAATTTCCTTGAATATTCTACAGCTTTTGACTGTGAGCTCATCATTGTTGGGACACTTGTTGCAAAAGTTTTATAAGGCCCACGTGAAGGTACAGTCCTCTACAGAGGATCCGGCTTTGCCAGCTACCTGTGGCATGAAGATCAGCATCCATCTTGAATTAAAATTTCTTACTTGGCATTTTAAGCCTAAACAATTAATGTACATTCAAGCGCCAGACACTTGTGAGGGTGGGTCAGTGGCTTTTAAATCTTAGGAGAATTTCTTTCTTTCACTTCTATCTTCCCCATTGTTAAGACTGAGAATGAATTTTCATTGCTATAAGTTTCTGCTGAGTTAATTTTATTTAAATTCATTGGGTGTGGTAGCTTACACCTATAATCCCAGCATTTTGGGAGGCTGAGGCAGGAGAACTGCCTGAGCCCAGAAGTTCTGAGACCATCCTGGGCAACATAGCGAGACCTCATCTCTACAAAAAATTTTTAAAAGCAGCTGGGCATGGTGGTGCATCCCTGTACTCCCAGCTACTTGGGACACTGAGGCAGAAAAATCACCAGAGCTCATGCCACTGTTCTCCAGCCAGGGTGACAGGGGAAGACCCTGACTCAAAAAAAATTTTTTTTCTAACTAAAATAACTAACTAAATTCACCCTCTTAATTTTTTTCCTGAGCATAGCACTTTTTGAGTCCTGGATACGTTGTGGCAGTATTCAAGCTGCTCCCTGCACCACCCAAGTCCACAGTCTCCCTACCCCAACAAAGGCCATGTACTAAGCTCTAGGTTACCAGGCTTTGTAAATGCCTCTGTCAGTTGGTTTTCAGGCTGGTTTACCTACCTTTGGAACTGGAAGCAGAGCTTGCTTTGCTTCTGGCCTTTGGCTGTCCTCTCCCCACCCCACCCTTTTGGTAGGTTCTTTTGCAGATCTGATTTGAAACACACGCATACACACAACCACCATCACTCACACAGATTTTAAGATATTTTGTGGCCAGAAAGTTTTGAGTTCCCCGGTCTGCATGTGCTGGACACATTCTTTGCACCTTTGTTCATTCTTGCTTCAATACCTCAGTCCCTTGGGGCGAATGAGTTTCAACCTCCTCTTACACAATTCGTATTAATCATCTATCCTTATAATTTGTAAACAGTGGAGCATACTAGTTAAAAGCAAAGACTTTCAAAACCAACTGCCTGTGTTTGAATCCTGCTCTGCCACTTAACTAGCTGAGTGGCCCCGGGCAAGTCATTCACTTCACAGGGTTGTTGAAAAAATCAAGTGAGCAACAATATAGAAAATGTTGACAGCCATATAAAATGCTTACAAGAGCCAGGTACATGTTAGCCATTATTACTATGGTTTTTGAATTCTTTAAAAAATACTTTCTCTCTAGTTTCAGTCAGTCGATTATTCAGGCAACAAACATTTGCGGAAAAGATTATTTGAAGTGTGAGAAACTGAGCTCGATGCTGAGAATAATACCAAGAAGCGTGACAAGTGGACGCTTTCCTTAGGGAACTTCCAGACAATGTGAAATCAATAGAAAATACAGAGTAAGTCTTCCATCCAAGTACTAACCAGGCCCGACTTTGCTTAGCTTCTGAGATCAGACGAGATTGGACACATTCAGAGTGGTGTGGCCATACACAGAATCTGTAATACTGAGTGATCTACCACAGAAGCAAAGAACTGAGTACCACATGTTCTCACTCCTAAGCGGACCTCGTACTATCATAACACTATAAGAAAGGGATTGGCAGTAGTTGGAAACTACCAGGGGAGATGGGGATAGGATTGGCAGAAGTGGGAAACTGCCAGGGTGGGAGGGCATACCTCAACAGCAAGGGTACCTGCATAATGAACATTTGTATACCTAACCCTGGATTGTACCCCACATCTTCAAAATAATAATAATAAAAAAAACAAAGTAAAAAAAAAAAAAAAAAAGTAAGCTTTTGGAAGGTAGTAAGACCTTAGAAAATGAATAGCATAGTTCACAGTGTGATATTTCAGAGAATGAAGACATCATATGTATTTTACATTAAGCAGATTATAAAAAATTTGAGTGCTGGAATCATAATATTTGACTTTACAGTCTCATGACTAGGAAAAAAACCAGAAAAACAGATGATACACCTTTTCTCCTTTTTTTCTATCAAAATGTAAGTTCCTTTCTTATGTCACACAATATAAAAAGCATAAATTTTTAAATTAAATTTTAATTTTAGTGCTGGCTTTTTCATTGACTAGTTAAATGGGACTTAAATCAGAAGGTTCTTAACATTATAAAGACTCAGATATAAAGACTCAAAACAGTTACAATAATAATTGCTTCACAGGGTTGTTTTAAGGATTAAATAAACAAGAAACATAAAGTATAAAATGTATATTTGGCACATAGCAGGTGTTCAATAAAAGCACATTTCCTTCTTTATCTCTAAATCTCCTCCAGCCTCAATGAAAAAGTTACCTCTCTGCCTACCCTAACTTTAGTATTCACAGATAGCATTTCTCTTTCATGGTAATTTTTTCATGCATTCTTAAGACACAGTTTCACATTTTATTAATTTTTGTAAACTAATAGTGTCAAGTAAGACACTAGGTCTTAAGCTGACAGCTGCCTTTAATTGGGTGATTTCTATATGGTACATACCCTTTCCAAGTTCCTTAGAGACAAGAACCATGTTTTATTCATTTTCTGGCCAGTCAGCACATAACTGATGCTCAGCTAACCCTGCTGAATGAAAAGCCTTCCCACAGAACCATGAGGAATGAATCTACACAGAGTCACGGGTAATGGACCCTGACCCAAGATAGCCACAGGGGGAGAGTGTGACTACTGCAATGGAAACTGAAAAGCAGGAAAGAAATAAAGTATGAACGTAGTAGATAAAGTATTGCATACAATATGTAATATATAAATTAGAAGTTTGCAGATTATAAATACATACATTATAACTTCATATAAAATTATAAAAATACATATCATACATTCACATAAAATTTACAATTCTCTCTATAGTAGGCACTGGGTAAAATGAAAAGAATGAATAAGTCACTGAAAATGCCTCATGCAATCACAGTAAATTCAAGTAAGACTTCCAAATAAAGGCATTCAACTTACAGTATAACAGTATCTCCCCTTGAGGTAATACAGTAAGGGTTCTTCAGGTAAAAGTTTGATTGCTATATCTAGATGTTCCTGAAAGAAATATCCAAAGGAAAAGTCATCTCCCAAGTTTCAGATCCTGCTGAATGGAACTACGCCATGGTCTTGTAAATTCTGAGGCGGTTCTAAAATGTCTCAGACCTTCCATCCCTATCATTCATACAATAAAATCTTATCAATAATGAAGTGATCAGAAGTAACTGCTTATAGCCCAAACTGTGACTATGATTTAATAAGGCTATGCATAATTTCAACCCAAAATGTCGCTAAAGAAAAAGGAACCAGCAAAGTTGAATGCTTGCCTGCCCATGACTTGTCTAGTGAATACTTCCTGGTGAGAGGTGAGCTGACAGAGGCCAAACGACATGGAGTAGGGTATGAGGGAAGAAGACACAGGGGAGCTAGATGGGAGATGAATCTATTCCCCTGGCATTACCGAATGGCTATAGGGAGCCAGGAAACTGGGAAGCACAGTTTGCTCATCCCTTACTGACTTTGGGGGGTTATTTACTGAGCTATTTTTACTAGAGGCAAATAGTACATTAGATGTATGTGGATTGCTAATTTTGTCTTTCGTGGTAAATTTAAGCCCCAGATTGGACCCTACTTCTTCCACCAAGTCAATATGTAGAGACTGTTAACTAAATAGCCCAAGTTACTTTTACAATGTTGTGCTCATGACCAAAAGGTTAATTCTCAATTTTTGAAAAAATAATACTCATCTACTTTGTGACTTCATTCGGGATCTGTAATAATAATAATCTTTAATCACCCAAATGATTTGATTCTTTTTAGAGTGTCATTTCCTAACATTTAAACAAACAACAACAAAAAAAATTCCTAGAGCTTAATTTGTTGAATAATCTGATTTATACCCGCTGACGGAATACATAGCTACATTAAAACATTTTCAATAGCAAGAAATACCTTGAAGAGATGTCCACAGTTGACTTTGTTTTGTAAGCCCTCAAACTCAGATACATAGCCACACAAAACTGCGTACCTGAAAAGGATGAAAACAGTGGCTACCATGTAAATTTGTAATCAAATACCACCAAAACATGGCATTAAAAAAACTCGAAAGCATTCATTAATATTTAACAAAAGTATTCATACAGATACAAGGGTCCTAACATAAATAAATATTTGACATTAACATGAGGCTTTCTCATCTATAACTGAAAATACTAACAATACTTACTATGTATAATTGTGAGGATAAAATGAGCTATGGTAGGTAACATGCTCAGAGCAATGCCTAGAATATAGAAAGCTTCAATAACTGTGACGTGGCACTATCATTACCATCATTAACATCAAAGTCATGAAGAAGCTCTCACAAAAATCTATTCTCCTTTTTATTAAATTGAAAAACATGTCAACAGACTCATAAATAAAAACATTGTTAAGATCAACCTTTTAAAACTCATTTACTCTTTAAAAAATTCAAGTATCATGGACTTTTTAAATGTCATTAAAAATGCAAATAAAGTCAGGTGTGGTGGCTCATAACTGTAACCTCAGCATTTTGGGAGGCTGAGGCAGGAGGACTGCTTGAGCCCATGAGTTCAAGACAAGTCTAGGCAATATAGCGAGACCTCGTCTCTACAAAAAATAAAAAAATTAGCTGGGTGTGGTAGCACATCTATGATCCCAGCTACTTGGGAGGCCGAGGAGGAAGAATCATCTGAGCCCAGGAGGTAGAGTCTATGGTGAGCTATCACCCTACCATTGTACTCCAACCTGAGCGACAGAGTGAGACCCCGACTCAAAACAAAAGCAAACAACAAAAATAAAGTAAAATAAATAAATGACTAAAACCAAGTCATAGGTAATTCTAGAGTATGCTTTTTCAAAAAATTTCCCGACCTCCCTCAAGCCTGCCTGGAAACACTGCCTTACTAGACTAGTGCATCCCATGAATTATTTCCCTTTTTCCACTGGGAATACAAAATTTACGTTACGATTATTTGACTTAAACTGGGTGCAATTTTTGTTCAGCAATTTGCTAATTTACTCAGTCTTTTGTCTGTGCAACAGTCTTCAGAGCATTTCAGATTGTCTTTGTGGTAACAATATCCATTCATCTACATATTTCAAGAGTAAGTGTTAATTTTTACTTGCATTGTCATAGTCACTGAGATGAAATATATAATTTGGGTTTTATTTATCTCAATCATTTCTATAAATAAGCATAGCTTCCAAGTACAACAATTCAGTGAACAATTTCTTAATTTGGAACAGTAAGCCATTCCTAAACACAAATGATGATGTAATTCACACCAACTATACACAACCAAAAAAATGGACACTCCTTAATTACAAATTTTTTATCTCTTTTTAGTTTCTATATAATGAACAGAATCTGCTGTAACAGAAGCAAGAGACCGGACTATATCAAACTATTAAACATGATCTGAGAACTAGATTAGGACATACCAAGAAACGCTAATTCTAAAATCAGATTGTATTTCACGTACCCCTCTACACCTTCACAAAGCTTTCCAGAGATTGCATATTTAAGAAAAACAGATTAATGGGAAAAGACTCTTGAGCTCCTTTAGGAAAACGCCATTGCTGCCTCAAGCTTCATTGTGTTGTTTTAATTCATATTTTTAGAAAACTTTTGGGTTCAAGACAAAAATAAACAGAAAGTACAGAGAGTTCTCATATACCTCTTGATCTCCCTCCTCTAAGAACTTCCCCTATAATCAGCATTCTGCACCACAGTGATGCATTTGTTAAAATTGATTATTACCCCAAATCCACAGTTTACATTAGGACTCACCCTTGGTGTACGTTCTATGGTTCTGACAAATGCATAATAACACCTATCCACCATTGTAGGATGTTACAGAATAGCTTCATTGCCCTAAAAATCCTCTGTGCTCTACTAGTCCTCCTTCCCTCTCCCCTGACTCCTGGCAAGCACTGAGCTTCTTCCATGTCATCTCATGATTTGATAGCTCATTTCTTTTTAGTGCTAAATAATATTCCATTGTCTGGACGTGCCATAATTTATTTATCCATTCCTACTGGGACATCTTGCTTGCTTCCAAGTTTTTCAATAATGAATAAAGCTGATTAAAAACATCCATGTTCAGGTTTTTGTGTGAACATAAATTCTCAACTCCTTTGTGTAATTACTACTGAGTACGATTGCTGGATCCTAGGGCAAGACCATGTTAGTTTTGCAAGACGTTGTCAAACTGTCTTCCAAAATGGTTGCACCATTTTACATTTCCACCAGCAAAAAATAAGAATTCCTGTTGTTCCACATCCTTGCCAGTATTTTCACTGTTATGGATGTTGGCCATTCTAATAGGTGTGTACTGGCATCTCATTTTGTTTTAATTTACAATTCCCTATTGACATATGATGTTGAACATCTTTTCATATTCTTACCATCTGTAAGTGTCTGTTCAGTTATTCTGTCAATTTTTAAATTGTGTCGTTTGTTATCTTACTGTTGACTTTAAAGAGTTCTTTTCATATTTTGTATATAAGTCTTTTATTAGATGTATAGTTTACAAGTATTTTCTGCCAGCCTGTGGCTTGTTTTCTTGTTCGCTTGACATTGTCTTTCACAGAAGTTTTTAATTTTAATGAAACCCAGTTAATCAATAGTTTCTTTTATGGATTGAGTTTTTTGTGTTATATCTAAAAAGTCATTGCCATACCCAAGATTATCTAGATTTTCTCTTATGTTACCTTCCTGGAGTTTTATGGCTTTGCATTTGACATTTAGGTCTATGATCCATTTCTACTTCATTTTTGTGAAGGGTATGAGGTCTATGTGTAGATTCATACTTTTTGCATGTAGATGTCCATTTGTTCTAGCACCATTCATTGAAGATTTTCTTTGTTCCACTGTTTGGTCTTTGTTTTTTTTGTCAAAGATCAGTGAAATACACACACACACACACACACACACACACATATGTATGTTTCTGGGTTCCTTATTCCATTCCATTGGTCTATCTGTCTATTCTTTTACCAGTACCACATTGTTTTGATTACTGTGCCTTTATAGTAAGTCTCGAAGTCAAGTAGTATCAGTCCTCCAACTTGGTTCTTCTACTGTAATATGGAGTTGAGTATCTTGCCTCTCTGTATAAAGTAGGCTTGTCAATATCCACAGAATAACTTGCAGTGGTTTTGACTGAGACTGCAGTGAATCTATAGAGCAAGTGGGAAAACTGACATCTTGACAATATCGAGTCTTTCCATCCATAAACATGGACTATCTCTCCATTTATTCAGTTTTCTGAAATTTTTCATCAGAGTTTTGTTGTTTTTCTAATATATATCTTGTACATACTTTGCTAGTTTTTTACATATGTATTTCAATTTTGGGGAGTGCTAATATAAATAGTAATGTATTTTTAAATTTCAAACTCTATTTCTTTGTCGCTGGTGTATAGAACACAGATTGTCTTTTGCACGTTAACCATGTATCCTGCAACTTTGCTATAATTGCCTTAATTACAAGTTTTTATTGTTGATTCTTTTGCATTTTCTAAAAAGACAATGTATTATCTGCAAACAGAGACCATTTTATTTATTTTTTCACAATCTGCATGCCTTTGTTTCTTTTTCTTGTTTTGTTGCATTAGCTAGAACTTCTAGTATAATGCTGGAAAGCAGTGGTGAGAGGAGATATCCTTGACTTGTTTCTGATTTTAGCTTCTTAATGGTGGGAAAGCAAGTTTCTCACTATTAAGTATAATGTTAGCTGTAGGGTTTTTTTAGATATTCTTTATCAAGTTGAAGAAGTTCTCCTCTATTCCTAGTTTGCTGAGAGTTTTCTTTTTAAATTATGAATGGGTGTTGGATTTTTTCAAATGCTTTTTCTGCTTCGTTTGATATATCACATAATTTCTCTTCTTTGGTGTGTTAATGTGACGGATTACGTTAATTGATTTTCAAGTGTTGAACCAGCCTTGCATCCCAGGAATAAATCCTGCTTGGTTGTAGTATATAATTCTTTTTTATGTGTTGTTGAATTCAGTCGGCTAATATTTTATTGAGGAGTTTTATATCTATGTTAAGAAGATATATGAGTCTGTAGTTTGTTTATAGTGTCTTTGTCTGGTTTTGGTATTCAAGTAATACTGGCCTAACTGAATGAGTTAGGAAGTATATCCTCTGCTTCTATGTTCTGGAAGAGACTGTAGAGAGTTGGTGTAATTTCTTCCTTAAGTATTTGGCACAATTTTATCAGTAAACCTATCCGGGACTGGTGCTTTCTATTTTGAAGGGTTGTTAATTATTTATTCTTTTTCCTTAACAGATATAGGCCTATTCAAATTGTCTATCGAAATGCTCTCTGTCACTCTGTTCTATCATCCTCCAAAAGAGTTCCAGACTAGGAAGCAAATCCAATCCTTCCAAAATTCCACACAACTACATCCTCAAACTCTCATTTTTGTGATGAGCATTATCATTTTCCAACTTATTTGGACTTAAAGTCTTAGGTCACTTTTTATTTAAATATGCTTTTCTTTTAGAATAGGTTTATATTTACAGAAAAGTTGTGGCTAGTACAGATTGTTCCCATATATCTCACACCTAGTTTTGCCTATGGTTAACACCTGATATTACTACAGTACCATTGTCAGAACTGTACCAATATTGATATATAATATTGATACACAATTGTCACAACGAACCAATATTAATACTATTGACTAAACTCCATACTTTATTCACATTTCTGTTTACCTAATGTTTTTATTCATTTTTGACATCTTTCTCTCTGTTCTTCCTTCCATACTTATTTCTTCACTTCACACCCTAAGTATCTTTCTCAACGTGTTAAAATCTTTTGAATTATTATTGTCATACAAGTTGCTCCACTTAATTCTGTGCAACTTTTATAAGCACACCTTTTTTATATCTTCATTCACTGACAAAATTACTGAACACGCTGAAGAATAAGATGTAGACCTGACCCTAGAATCACTCCCAGGTTGACAATGTCTGTTGAATAACTGGGGCTCA